CGCACCATCCTGGCACGAGCTGGGGAAGGGAGCGCGGGGCCCGGCAGGAGTTACTGTAAGGCGCCCCCGCCCCAAGCCGGGAAGAAAAGAGCCGCCTCAATTCCCACTTGCTCCCCATTCTCCTAGTTGCTCCTCTCCAGAGCGCCGGTGAGTCGCCTCTTGCCGTGCTCTTGGGTAAGTTAAACAGCAGGGCTGTGTCTACACTGGCACGATTTTCCGCAAATGCTTTTAACTGAAAAGTTTTCCATTAAAAGCATTTTGCGCCCCCGCCCCAAGCCGGGAAGAAAAGAGCCGCCTCAATTCCCACTTGCTCCCCATTCTCCTAGTTGCTCCTCTCCAGAGCGCCGGTGAGTCGCCTCTTGCCGTGCTCTTGGGTAAGTTAAACAGCAGGGCTGTGTCTACACTGGCACGATTTTCCGCAAATGCTTTTAACTGAAAAGTTTTCCATTAAAAGCATTTTCGGAAAAGAGCGTCTAGATTGGCAGGACGCTTTTCTGCAAAAGCACTTTTTGTGGAAAAGCGTCCGTGGCCAATCTAGACACGTTTTTCCACAAAAAAAGCCCTGCTCACCATTTTTGCGATCGGGGCTTTTTTGCAAAAAAGAAATCTCTGCTGTCTACACTGGCCCTTTTGCGCAAAAGTCTTTTGGAAAAAGACTTTTGCCCGAACAGGAGCTGCATAGTTTTTCTGCAAAAGCACTGACAATCTTACATGAGATCATCAGTGCTTTTGTGGAAATTAAAGTGGCCAATGTAGACAGCTGGCAAGTTTTTCCGCAAAAGCAGATGATTTTGCAGAAAAACTTGCCAGTCTAGACACAGCCCTGGAGGGAGCGCGGAGGCTGTCTACACTGAGCAGCACAGCGTGTGGCTAAGGCCTTGCCGGGATAAGGTACCTAGCCTAAAGCCACCCCCAGCAAGGGGCAGGAGCTTTGTCAGCAGGAGATGCCCTCCCAGCAACAAAGTGGTGTCCATACCGGTGTGTTCTGTCATTACATTTTTGTTGTCAGTCAGGAGGGTATTTTCTCGCACCCTGATAAGTTTTAATCATAAAAGTAGACACAACCTTATTCTCCAGCCCTCAAGTCACTTTGATGGCTCCTCCTTTCCACATCCACTTTTTTTTCAACCTGTTGCCCCAGAACTGCATGCACTGTTCCAGTAAAGATCTACCCAGTGCTTCATGCTCCTACTTACATCCTCCTTGTTATGGATTGGGTCAGTGGTTCCCAACCTTTCTTATACCACAGACTGGCAAACCCATTCACAAACCTTTGGTGGACTGGTAGCATTTGTTTTGGTTACTTGCATTTTCATCATGGTAATTAATGTTAAGAGGTCATGTGTTCTTTTACATCGCATCTGTACCCACACAATACATGATGTTGAAATAGATCAAAGTTTGCAGAGATCTACAACGCTAAAAAAATTCTGTTACAAGAATCCTGTCCTTTCTTCTCTTGAGCCATTAACTCCTATGTAAACTTTGTCTGAAATTTAATCATGCAAATGTCGTGAGCTAGGGCTTTTGTTCTGCCTGCAACCCAGAGGGAAACAAGTTAGACCAGTGTTTCTGAAAGTGTACTGTGGAAACACTTTCAGAAACACATTAACTGACCGCCCTGGTTTGTTTATGTACCGCAGTCACGGCTGCAAAGGACGAAACGGAGCCAATGGGGGCCGTGACATAAACAAACCAGGGCAGCCAGTTAATGTGTTTCTGAAAGTGTTTCCACAGTACACTTTCAGAAACACTGAGTTAGACAACCCAAACTCCTCTCTGTCCCCACCTAACTGCACTAGTCCTCATCCCTGGAGAGAGGGAAAGGTGAACATCTAGCTCCCCCCCAGCCTGCACGCCCCACACATGAACTGAGCAGAGCAGCTCCAGTCTACCTGGCATCCCTCGGGAAGTCAGGAGCAGTTGCAGTATGAGAAGCCAGAATGTTCCAACCCGCCTCCATGACCGGAACGCACATGGGGCAGGCGGAAAGGTCTCGCATTTCCGCTGGGGGCCTCTGTCAGTAGCCAGGGTCCCTTGACAGTCCCTCCGTGGCTCCCCCAGCAACAGTTGAGTCCGTCCCACGCAGAGGAGCCAGAATAAACAATCGGCCGCAGGGGCAGAGCCAGGGCAGCTAGTGCTCTGCAGGGCAGGTGAGGCACTGCAAGCTGGCCCCCTCACTCCCCCTGGCAGCCCCTACCCCTTGCTGAGCTGGGCAAAGGGCTTGGCACCCCTGTCAGGCTGCGGGAGAGACCAGCACAGGAACCAGCAATGGTACAGGCCTGTCAAGCCAAGGGCGTGTCCTGGCACTATGCCGCAGCCCAGCAACCAATGATTCACAGCCTGGCACTGGTCTGCAGACCAGCGATTGGGAACCACTGGATTGGGTGACTCCAGGGGTCACCTTAGTCCTTTTTGTCACAGCATTGCACTGGGAGGTTGTGGTTAGTTGCTTGTCCACTATGACCCCTGGATCCTGCTCTCCAGGGATAGTCTCAACTCAGGGCCTGACCCCAGCCAGCGTTCCTAGATTGGTGACTGAACATTTGGCTGTATTAAAATATATTGTGTCTGCAGGGGCTCTGTGCACCCCCCCCCCCCAGCCCCAGCCATTGCTTACCAACCTGCATGTCATCTGCACATTTAATCAATGTTGATTTCAAATGTATTGCAGGCTCCAAGCACCGAGGCCGGGGCCCCCTGGTTCCTCCTGCCCCAGACCCCCACCAGCTCTTCGACGACACCAGTGCTGGCTTCCCGCATTCACAAGGGGCCCCTGCCTCAGGAATCGATATGGGCTTCAATACCCTTCTGACTGACCCAGTGGCCAATGTGGCCGTGGCCTATGGGTCCTCCATCGCCAGCCAGGGAAAGGACATTGTCCACAAGGAGGTGGGGAGGATTAGGACCTCTGTACTCCACTGGGTTAGAATTGGGGAGGGGAGGCAGATTGGGGGTGATGAATGCTCTACAGCTCCTGGAGTCTCCATACCCTGTGCCCTAATAGTGGGGAAAACCTTCTCTGGCAGTACGCCGCTGCAGGGTAGAGGAAACTTGAGTCTTCATGACTCCCTCAAAAGGGAAGCACAGTCAGCTAGTTACAGTGGGCAGTCTGCGAGTCAGGACTGCTGGGCTGTAGAAGGGAAGGGGACACTGGGTGCCAGGACTCCTTGTTTCCCTCCCTGTCTCTTTGTCTCAGTTTCTTCTCTATAATTGGATCTGGCCCCCACAGGAGAATGGGGAGGTCACTGATTGACTAGTGATAGGCGTTGTCCTGTCAGTATGCACCCCTCAATTCAGTAACCCTCTGTCACACACATCCCATTTTACCCAGTGCAGTAACCCCCTATTGCAGCCTGCTGTGATAGCCCTGCCATTAACCAGTATGATAGCCCTCTACAGTGCAACCACCTGCTCTTCCTGATGCAATAGCTCCCGTGACCTCTTTCCAGTGTTATAACCTCATCATTCTGCCTGCACAGATCCACAGGTTCATGTCTGTGAACAAACTCAAGTATTTCTTCGCTGTGGACACTGCCTATGTGACCAAGAAGCTGGCACTGCTACTCTTCCCCTATGCACACCAGGTACAGAGAGTCCTTGCTGCACACCTAGATGCACAAGCTATGGGGTCTTGGAGCTGGCTGTGGGGTTGAGAGTCATGACCTCTGAGTTCTGAGAGTGGCGTGGGATCTAATGGGATATAGGGGAGGGGTGTGAGAGCCAGGACTTGTGGACTCTGTTTGCTGTTCTGGGAGGCAATTATGGTTTAGTGGGCTAGTGCAGGGTGGAGGTGGGAAGGGGGTGCCAGGGCAGCCAGAGCTCTGGCTTCTGCCATTGGCATAGCTCCATGATGACGCTCTTGTCTGTGCTTCAATTTCACCTGTTTCACAGATAAGAATCTGCCAGGCTTGGTCTCAGTATCCAATGTCAGGGGTAGCTATATTAGTCTGTATCTGCAAAAACACTGAGGAGTCCGGTGGAACCTTAAGCACTAACAGATTTATTAGGGCATAGTCTTTAAGGTGCCACAGGACTTCTTGTTGTTTTTTTGCAGTATCCAATCACTCTCCCTTCTCTTTAGAACTGGGAGGTTCGGTATAGCAGGGACACACCCCTCACCCCCCGGCAGGACATCAACGCACCCGACCTGTATATTCCCAGTGAGTATGATCAAGCAGAGGGGTCTGCAAATAGTGATGGGGAGGGGCCTTGTCTCCTAATCCAGGTTAGTCAAGTCTGATGCCCTCCACCCTGACAACCCACCCACTCATAGCTCCAGAGGCCAGAGCCAATGACCCTTCTCTTAGGACTGGTAGCTAGAGTCTAAGGACCCCCTCTTTCTGTCTGTATCTGGTGTCGGCGAGAGCAGTTGGTGTGAGACAGACAGAGAGGATGTGTTGGGGAAGAATGGATGCAGGGGTGAGTGAATGGGAATGTACGGGTGTTGGTGGATGGACAGACTGCTCGGTCAGTTAAGCCAGGGGTTCTCAAACTGGGTGTCACAAGCTGTCAGCTTCTACCTCAACCATGCTTCATCTCCAGCATTTACAATAGCGTTAAATATAAAAAAGTGTTTTTAATGTCTGACTGGGACACACTCTGGGATCTGCAGTGTGAAAAGGGTCATTAGTGCAAAAGTGTGTGAACCCCTGATTTAGGCAGGCAGGCAGACATGGCTAGCCCTGCTCCCAGGAGGTTGATCCCCGCCCCTCATGTTCTCTGCCCTGTCTATGGGCCATGTCTCTCCCTCAGCAGAAGCTCTAGCTCACACGTCAACTATGTGTGTGTTTCAGGCATGGCTTTTATCACCTACATTCTCTTGGCCGGCATGGCCCTTGGTCTGCAGCAAAGGTGAGTCCTGCTTCCCTGTACCCCCAACCTCTGAGGCCACCTTTCCCCCTTAGGCTTTGTCAGAGATGCTCTGCCCTCGCAGGCAGCACTCACCCCAATGCCCTAGCATGGTGGGTCCTTTCTCCCAGTGATTCCCAGGTGTGGAGTGTCCTCTGGTGTTTTTGCCAAAAGCTGAAGTGTGAACCCGGTGTCCTCCTGGCCAAGTTCCAGGTTGGGTGATTCCCACCTCTCTCTAATTCCCTGCTACTGCTTCTGTCAGTTGCAGGAGTCTCCCTCACTTCCTCTCTCCAACTTGGGGATATCTTTGCTATGTGCTGGTAAACAGCCCCCGTGCCCCATTCCAGAGATGGCTGTATCTCAGCCACCAGGCAAGGGATCCCTGTATAAATAGCACCTGTACCTCATCCCAGAGGCAGAAGTTAAGGCTGGTTTGCTATCATGGTTCCCTGGCAGGTTCTCTCCGGAGGTGCTGGGCATGTGTGCCAGTACTGCCTTTGTGTGGGTTGTTATTGAAGTCCTCGCCCTGCTGCTCAGTCTGTACCTAGTGACGGTGCAGAGCGACCTCACGCCCTTCGACATTCTGGCCTACAGTGGATACAAATACGTGGGGTGAGTCTGCACGCAGGGCTGGATGGCGTGGAGGGCTGGATGGCGTGCTGGAGGGGGAGGGAAAATCTGGGGAGCCCTCCTCATTGCCTTCCCCTAATTTCTGTCTCCTCCAGGATGATCCTGGCTGTTCTGGGGGGACTGCTCTTTGGCAGTGATGGGTATTACGTGGCCTTTGCCTGGACATCCTGTGCCCTCATGTACTTCCTGGTGAGTGCAGGGCCCTAAAGGGGCACCTATAATTTTCGTAAGCCCTAGGAACAGCCCCTATATAGATAGAGCCCTGACACCGAGGAATGGGAGTCACCCCTCTACACTAGCTATAGCCTCTGTAAGATCACAGAGGGGAGGTGCTTGGGAATGCAACTAGAGGAAGAGTCTCAGAAGTGAGTGAGGCTCTGGTCCCTTCAAGGCCATCCCATGGGCTCATCTCCCAGTCCCAAGGAGGTGGGATCTGCCAATCCTAGCTGCAGGGTAGTGGGGACAGTAGGTCTTTGAAAGTGGGGCATCAGTCTGAGGGTATCGTAAGACTTGATAATGGCTCCTTCAGCGACTGTCGCTGCAATGTAGAACTGACCCCATGCAGGCAGTGCAGTCCCCACAATCCTGGAGGTGGGGGCTGGGCATGGGGCTGTATGAGGCGAGGGAGTAGGGATTGGTGGCTATCAATTCATCCCCCTGGTCTAATGGTGTCTTCCCACAGGTGAGGTGGGGACAGGGAGAGGAGACAGGGCAGGTAGGTTACCAGATCAGACTTCCCCCTAAATCTAATGTTGTCTTCCCCCAGGCACGCTCCCTGCGAATGAAGCTGCACCCATCACTGGCACCAGATGGGATGGGGCATCCCAGGGGCAGTGGGCGTGGTCAGACCTATGTCACCCTGGGGGCTGCTGCCTGCCAGCCACTCATCGTCTACTGGCTCACCTTCCACCTGGTCCGTTGAGATGGGGGGCAGTGCGGTGCCCGGGGGGCAGTCCGTCCTGGACTCATGGACTCCTGGGACCTCCCCAGACATACAGGCACCCAGGACTCTATCCTCCAATGCATGGCCACCTGGGACCACACACATCTCTGAAGCCTGGACAACTTGGGGGTTGGCATCCAAAACTCCAGGGTTCTGTCCCCAGCTGGCTGGGTAACCTGAGGTGCATCCCTTCCCCCTATGCCTTAGTTTCACCCTCACTGTGAAGGAAATATGATAACACTAACCAGCTCTCTGGGACTTACCCAGCCACATCACCTCAGGCGCAGTGCCCTCCCCTCCCCGCTCCCTTGTACTGTTGGGTATCTGGTCCCCTCAAAAATCAGTGTTTCCCACAGATCAGTGTTTTCCTGGAAAACTCTTATTGAAACCCAGGTCTGGGGGAGCAGGGAATAAACAATCCTGACTAGCCCACGGTGTGTGTGTCAGTGCTGGACCCACTGTGCTAGGGGGAGCTGTACAGCAGGGAGTGGGAGTAGGGGGCACTTTGCCCTTGCAGCCCTGATCCCAGTGCCCAGGCATGGTACTAGAGCAGGCTGTGCAGCAAGAAGCAGGATGAGGGCGCAGGGAAACATTCTACCCTTGCAAGCATTGTTGACACCCTTACACATGGTACTAGCAGTTCCCCTCAATCCCAACCTGAAGCCACTATGCAGTTAGTCCCATTTGTAGAACCATAGATTATAAATCACAGAAGCAAAGACATGTAGGGCCAGAAGAGACACCTAGACCAGCCTGCTGATTTGAGGCAGGACTGAACACACCAGGGATCATTGGGATATCTGCTCTGACCTCCTGTATGACACAGGCCATAGGACTGCCCTGAATTAATTCCTGTGTCAGCTAGAGCAGATACTTTGGAACAAATCCAATCTTGATTTTAAAATTGCCAGTGATGAAGAATCTGCCACAATCCTTAGGACATTGTTCCATAGTTAATTATTAAATTGTTAAAAATGTGTCTGAATTTGTTTAACTTCCTGCCATTAGCTGGAGTTAGATCTTTGTCTGATGAGCCCTCTGTTATCCAAGTGCCGTTCCCCATGTAGGTACTTCTAGAGTGCGACCAAGTCATGCGTTCTCTTTGTTAAACTAAATAGATCAGGCCTCTGGAGTCTCTCACTATGAGGTCCTCTAAGCCTTTAATTATTCCCGTGCCTTTTCTTTCTGAGCCCTCCAATTTATCAGCATCCCTCTTGCATTGTGGCCACCAGAACTGAACACAGGATTCCAGCAGCATTCGCATAAGTGCCATGTACAGAGGTAACAGAATGTGCCTTCTTCCATTCAAGCTTCCTGTTTATACATCCTAGATTTGCATTTTGCCATATTAAATTACATATTGTTTCAACCCAGTTTACCAGGTTGTTGCGTATCACTGACCTGTCCTCCAGATTATTCACTGTTCCTCCCATCTTTGTGTCAGATTTCTTCCGTGTCATTAAAAATATTACACAGGATAGGGCCAAGAACCAAGCACTATAGGCTCCTAGTAGAAATATATGTACCCAGTGATGATTTTCTGTTTACAAGTACAGTGTGAGATCAATAAGCCAATTTTTAATCCAGTTAATCATGTGTGCTGTGGTGATTTAATATTGATCTGATTTCTTAAGATGTCCTGGCACACCAAGGCAAGTGCCATACAAAAATCTAAGTATACAATATCAGTACTAATCTTTGACAACAACAAAAATACCAAGTTAGTTTGACAGGCTCTATTTTCCATAAGCCCATGTTGTTTGGCTTTAATTCTATCAGACTGCTTTCATTCTTTTATTAATTGAATGTATTGTGTCAGTCATTCCATTATTGTGCTCTGGAGTGATGGAGGTGGGAGGTTCATTAGGATTTGGTGCAGGGCTGAGTGTGTGGCTGCATGGGGATTTGAACCCAAGTGGGGGGGCAAGTACAGGCAAGCCCCGCTCCCTGCAGCGTTTAAAGTAGCCTGAGAAAGGAGTGCGGGAGGAGAGATTTCATCTATAATTTTTCACAGCTATTAAAGTGACTTCACAGCTGCCTGCCCCTCCACTCATTCCCTTATTAACTCTACCCCTGCCCTCCTCCCCCACTTCCCACTGCTGCTTTGGGAACGAGCTCTGCAGCAGTTCAGATTGGTTGCTTGCATCACCTCTTGGGGTATAAGCAGCCAATCAGAGGGCGGTGTTCCTAGGCTGGGCTCAAGCTACCAGTGAGAGTGGCAGAAGTTGTATTTGCTGCAGGGTCTGTGCCCTTTTGCCCAGCACCTTAACCCTTGTCTCCATGGCAGTGCAGGTCTGGCTCATCCTGCCTTCCAGGTGGCTGACCTTGTCATTCTGCCTCTTGCCACCAGGTGTCAGTGCAAGACCCAAGCACACAGGGCCCTTTGCTCGGGGGAGCAAATGGAGGCAGATGCTATTGGATCCCCACAATCTTTCTCTGCAGGTGCCCCCAGTTAAAAGGGTTGAGGAACAATTTGTAAGAGGGGGTGTGGCCGAGAGCCATTGAGCCAAACTGTAACCCCTAAATATGATGGACCACTTTAAGATGGCACCCAGTTGTGAGCCAGGGACCTTTATGTGGCCAGAGCAGCTATAGGTCGCCCTCCATCTCTGCCAGTGGCCCTCAGTCTTGATCCACAGCTCCCTACTAGCCTAGCCTTGGGTTCCCCTTTCCTTCTCAGTTTCTGTTAAGACAAGTGCGTCATCACCCTGCAACCATGCCCCCCAGAGCAATTAATGCTGTAATTTGACTTCTGCTGTTCCTCCTTTCCCCATCATACCCTTTCACAATGAATCTAGCACCTCAGCATGGCTGGGTGAAGGTAAATGAGACAAATAAGTGCTCTTCCTCCTCCAGAACTATTCCCCCCTCCTCCAGCTCTGACCAACTCCCACCCTCCACTCACCCCACTTCTGGAAGATTTGGAGGGTGCTGATTCTTCCAAATAAGCCAAGATCTTGGGAGTGGGGATGATTGTGGTGTGAGCTTCTCATCTTCAGGGAGGTGAGACTGACCCCACCAGTCTGACCCCCCTCACTGCCACTGCTCCTCCCACAGCAAGGACTAAAACCCAGAATGCCTGACACCCAACCAGGCCCCACCTCCCACCACGGGACACTCCCTCCCCAGCTGGGAACAGACGCCTCACAGGCCTGGCTTCCTGCTCCCTCCCATACCTTGCACAAGCACCGTCATTCACGCCTGTGCCCAGAAGCCAGCCCCACCTCCTCTGGCAGGGATATGACCCTATGTGCTTGTTGGTCTGTTTCCCCTGCCCTGGGGCAGGATTGGCTATGCTGCCCCCAATGGGTAGGACACAACCACACACTCTTGCTCCTCCAGCCCAGTCTAGGCATGCATACATTAACTGTCCTTTGTTTAATGGGGAAATGGAGCGAATTGAGGACAAACTCACTAGCATTGGGGGAGGGCTCCAGTGGGCATGGGGGCCTGACTGTTGGTCTGTTTCCCCTGCCCTGGGGCAGGATTGGCTATGCTGCCCCCAATGGGTAGGACACAACCACACACTCTTGCTCCTCCAGCCCAGTCTAGGCATGCATACATTAACTGTCCTTTGTTTAATGGGGAAATGGAGCGAATTGAGGACAAACTCACTAGCATTGGGGGAGGGCTCCAGTGGGCATGGGGGCCTGACAGCAGCCCCAGGGCAGGCAGCTGGGGTTCTGTGGCTGGAGATGGGGCCAGCTGTGGATTGAGGGGGGTGTCAGGTGGCAACTCACCTAAGCAGATTAAATCTGTCAGTACCACAACTCATGGATAATGTGCTGAAGCAAATGGAGGGTAGTGAGCAATGGCCTTTACATAACAGCTCCCAACCTGCGGAGGCTGGGCTCCTACCACTGCAGCTACACCCCAAAAGGCTGATTGGGCATGTCACAGCGCCAGTCAGGGGGAAATCCATATAAACAGTCCTGGCACTCCACTCCAGAGACAGCTGCCGTGCCCTGCTAGGCACAGGAATCCCTGTATAAACAGCCTCCATGCCCCACCCCAGAGCCAGCTGCCACTCAGCGCCAGGCACGGGATCCCTACATTCACGGCTGTGCTGGATCGCGTTCCCAGCAGATCAAAGCCTGGGGGAGGTAGCACTTGGCCAGGAGAGGGTTCTCACGCGTGTTCACATTCGCTCCCTAGCAGCATAGTGACAAATTTGATCTGAGACTGGAATTTCCCTGATGAAAAATGTTGGAGAAATGGCCCAGAAAACAGCAGCTGCTGATTATTCTCTAGCGCTTCAAAGCACTTTGCAGCCATACAGCTGCCCCAGGAGAGAATTTTACTGATCTCAAAACAGAGGGGAAACGTTAGCGAAGCAGAGTGGACCCAGGAAAGCCTGCCTAGCACCCCCCCTTTCTTTCCCCCCACTCACAGCATCTCTGATCCCACTCTGCTCTCAGTGACATGACTGAGTCCTCACAAGTTTCCCCCTCTGCCCTGCCCTGACTCGACCCCAACCCCAACCTCCCTCATGCCCCTTTGTCCTGCTGCGGAAAGCACCCCAGGCCAGATTCCAATAATGGGGCTAGCCCATACCCTGGATGGAGCGGTGGGGGGAGGGGGAGGTGTGAGTGTGAGAGAGAGTGATGCAGGCTTTGTGTGAGGCTAGTGCACGGGAGGACTTGTGGGTGTAGGGGTTTGGCCTGGCCAGAAGGGCTGCCAATCTGAGACGTGTGTGCGTGGTGCTCCAGGGCTATGCACAGCCACCAGCAGTACCCAGCCCTGGGCTGAGGGCACACATCCCATCCTGGCAGTATGGGGGAGGGGACCTGTGGTTAGAGGGTTTAGAAGGGCCACATAGCCGAGGGGTTGCCAGCAGTTCCTTATTACAAGACCTTTATTTTTCATCTCTGTACAACAAACGCGGGAGCTGCTGAGTGCTGCAAAAAGCTGCAAGCGATGCCCCGGCACACACAGGGGAGTGAATGCGGCTTCTTATTGCCACCTGCTGAGAACACCAGTAATAAGGCTATTGGGTGGGAGGGCTAGGAAAACAGGCCCTTCCTTTGGAAACACAGTGGTGGCACCTCTTGAAGGCTCCTACACGGTTGCAGTGCAACACAGCTCCCCAGTGCCCATAGCCATGACCCCAGGAGGCCAGGATTGCTGGGGAACTGGCTGCCCAGCATCACACTGTCCCTCAGCAATGTGCTGCATGCCCTTGGGAGGCAGCCAGTTGGGGCTTGTGCAGCCCCTCTCCTGTGGCTTCGGGTGGGGTGGGGAGTGAAGCCCTGGAGCAGGGGACTGGCTTGGTGCTGGAGCCCCCTTAGTACGAAAAGCCTCCCTCTCAGTTTGCCTGGGGCCAGATTGGCACCAGAGCTCCTGCTGGCCCCACGTCCCACTTACAGACACAGGAGGGCGATGGCGCTTGGGTTTTTTGCAAGTTTTTATTTAGCCACAAAGTTGAGGATATTTTATCCAATGTTTCATTTATACACAAATGCCCTGTGGGGGATAGGAGGACCGGGGGGGCAATGCCCCCCAACACCTATAGATGTCTCTGGCATCCAGGTCCCTTTCTCTGTGGGTCTTACCCCAGGTTGGGGGAGGGAGGAATCTCCTCCCTCTGAGACATAGCTCCCCTTCCCAGCACCCAGCTCAGAATAGCTTCCCAAGTGGGCTAACGGGGAGCTCTACACAGGGCACCCGCGCACACACCCCTATTCAGGCTAACAGGGCACCTGCACACACCAGCACCCCACCCCAATTTTTCTGGGCCCAAGGCCCAAATTTGAGTACCCCCCCCAACTTGGTAATAAGGACGTAGGGATGGGGGGTGCCTGACCTCGGAGGGGTGACCTGGTGTGGGGGTGTCATTTTTCAGCTTTATCCCCTTCTCCCTGGGCTCTAGATAAGGTACCCCCTGGGCCACCAGCCCCACACCAGACAATAACTCCAGGTAACAAATTCAACACTATAAACACACAGAAATACCCTGCCATGCCCTGGGGTGTGTGGGGTTTGAGCCCACCCTGGGGTGGGGGCCAGGGGCTGTGCCCTGTAGGTTGTGGGAAGATCCTAGGTGGGTTCCACCCCCTGGATTAGATGTAAACATCCCAACAGAATAATCGCCCTGGCCCTGTGCTGGGCTCCTACCCCTGCGTTATGACACTGCAGGGGAGGGGTGCCCAGTACTCAGTTCTCCCCACCCCCTGAAAAGGGATTCACTGTGGGGTAGGGTGCCCATCCCCTTGCTGGGCTCACAATGAGGTGTGGCAATGGGGAGGGTTCTAGCAGCAGTGGGGGGTCACGCCTGCCCTGGCCCCCATCACAGAAGTGGGGAGGGTATGTCTGGGAGGCGATACTCCTCTCCTCACAGGCGCTGCAGCAGGGTTCACCAAGTCATTCAAAATGCAGGGCAGCCCTAATATGGGGAGGCCCAAGGTCTGATCCTGCGAGTCGTCCAGCGATGGGGCAGAGTCGCAAATCCATGGGGGGAGAGCATCAGGCCCATGGGGGGACTGGGTTTTCAGGGCCTCCCCCCGTGTTCCCAGCATCTCTGGCACTTTCCTAGAAACAGCCGGTCGGGGGTGAACCCAGGAGTCCGGGAGCAGCCACTGAAATAATTGTGGGGTCCCCCACTCAGTCCTCTTAGAAACTCACCAAAGTATAAACCATACTGGGGAGAGAAAGAGAAAGAGAAAAAGAAAGAGACACCCTGAAATGCTGCGCCTGCCCCAGAGACAGCTGTATTGGGAGAGATCCCTGTCCAACCTCCCCATGGCCCATGTCAGAGGAGGCTGCATCTCAGCCCCTGAGGATTCCCCAGAGACCGTGCCAAGGCGCTACCTGTACAAGTAGTAGAAGAAGGACAGCAGATAGAAGGCCAGTTTGCACCATGACTCCTTCTGGCAGTAGTTGAGGATGTCAGCGTTCATGATGGAGACAGCGTCATACATCACTTCAGACCCGTCTGCTGGGCGGTGGAAATACCTGGAGAACAAAGGGCAGGGCTCACACGGCGTCTTTGTCCTCCCAAACCTCACCTGCAAGGGGGCTTCCTGTAGACCAGCAGTCACCAACCAGTAGATCGGGATCTACTGGTAGATCTTGGAGCCTCTGACAGGGGATCCTGACTGGCTAAGGGACTATCAGGTGCTGGCACTTCAGTTGCCTCTCCCCACACTGCTGTGCAGCTCCCCTTTGCCTTGGAGCTGTCTCCCCCCATCTCGGAGAGCCTCCTGCTTGCTGTTCAGAGCAGGGAAGGGAGAGGAGGGGGTGCTGATATCAGGTTGTCCCTCTCCCACCCTATTTTATGTCAGAATGCAGGGGAGGGAGGGTACAACAGGGTTTGAGATGGAGGGAATTTGCTGGCCACTTTTGAGAGTGGTGCAGGGCCAGGGCAGGGGCGAGCCTGCCTCAGCCCCACTGCACCACCACCCAGGAGCCACCTGAGGTAAGCAGTGCCCAGCTGGAGCCAGTTCCGAACCCCAGTCCCAGTCATGAACCTCCTTCTGCACCCCAGCCCCCGTCCTAGTCATGAGCCACCTGGATCCAAACGCACAGTGCCTGCACCCTGCCCCCCAGCTGCACCCCAACTCCCTGCCCCAGGGTTAGCTCAGAGCCCCCCTCACACTACAAATCCCTTAGCCCCAAACCAGAGCCTATGCCCCAACCCTCTGCCCCTGGCCTTATGAAAGGAAGAAGGATGGAGTGAGCAGGGGCAGGGCCTCGGAGAAGAGGCACGAAGGAGGTGGGGCCAGGGTATTTGGGTTTGAGGTAGATCCTGGGTTGCACTTAAATTTAAAAAGTGATTTTGTGCTTAAAAAGGTTGGAGACCACTGCTGTAGAACATGCTTAGGGAAAAAAAACCTGCTGCTAGCCCAGCCACATCCATGGCTCTGCCAGTCCCCCTTGCCAGCCCAGTCTTGGGCAGTGAGCACCTCTGCCCCAGCTCTGTTCATGTTCCTTAATCCCTGCTCACTGCCCCCAGATGCTGCCCCCATAAGCTGCCACCTCGAGGAGGGCAAACTCCCAGGCACATGCTTGTGTGACCACCTAGGAGAGATTAAAATGCTGCCCAGCTGATTAGCAGAGCACCCACAGCTGGCAGCATGTGTTTATACTAGTGGTGCACATCCACACATGCCTCAGTGCACATCACAAAAATTATTCCACACATGGATGGCAAAAAATTAGAGGAAACATTGGCACAGACGCTGCTCACCTCCAGAGGTGGTAAAAGAGCAAAGGGATGTTGAGGCCCAGGGTGACCCACTCGGCTGCACACAGGAACATGAGGCAGAAGAGTCCATGGATGGAGTATTCAGGGACCACGAGCTGGAAGGGAAAGCAGGCCCTGTCAATGGGGAAACAGAAGCCAGGAGTCTTGGCTCTAGGGTTGCCATTGTCCTGGAGTCTCCAGGAATTTAAAATTAATCTGTAATTAATATCGTGTGAGAAACCCTCCAGGAATCCATCCAACCAAAACTGGCAACCCTAACCTGGTGCCTGCTCCTGTGGCAGTGGGTGCTGCCTCAGCTCCCAGCTCCCACAGACACCCCATTAATAGTCTGCAGCCTGCAGCTGTGATGTGTCTGGGTCCTGTCCTGCCAGCAGCCAGGCATAAATAAAACACGTGGCGGTGGTGGAGAGGGGGCAACTTACACCAGGGAAACTGACACAAACAACACAGCAGCGCCCCAGAGGCAACAGCTCCCATCTGGGGAACTGTTTGGCTCAGGGTAGCAGGGACTAGGATAAGGGGGCTTTGGCTGGGGAGGGGAGGGGGCTCTGATTTGGCCCTAAGGCAGGGACTGGCTGGCTGGGGGAAGAGAGAGATTTTTTTGAGGAGGGGCTATAGGAAGAGGTGTAAGGGCTGTGGGGAGACGACACAGAAGCCTAAGAGGGGAAGGGTGGGGGGAGCCTGAGGAAGCCATGGGGAAAGGAGTGGGAGGTTGTGGAGAGGAGGGGAGGGAGTCTAGGTGGGGAGGGAACATGAGCAAGTGAGGCCTGTGAGGAGCTGTGGGGAGGAGGTCCAAGGATCGAAGGATGGAGGGAGGCACAAGCAGGCGAGAAGGAAGGGGGGCTGTGGGAAGGAAGTGCAGGGGCCCAAGAAGGGATGGAGTTTTAGGTTCCAGATGCAGTGAGAAGCTATAGGGAGCACATGCAGGTGTCCAGAGAGACTGGGAGAGGTGCAGGAGTTGAGGGGGCACTGCCAGTTGGGCATTAAGAACTGCTCGGTCACTGTTTTGGAGAGTGGAATGGCTAAGACATAAGAGACAGGGATTATGGGGACCATGGACGGGACAGGAGGGACACAGACACATGAGGCAGGGACAGCGAAACATGGACGCACCTTTCTCAGGAGGCAGCAAATCCGCTCAATGTTTTTCAATCTCTCTCGCTGCAGGGGGGAAAAAACAGGGAATTAGATTCAGAGTCGGCAGAGGGGAGGGCTGAGAGAAGGGAGTGAGGCAGGAACAGAGAGGGATGTTCAAGTGTGGGGGGGGAGGTGCCGGGAGTCAGGACTCCTGGGTTTTACACCTGGCTCTGTGACAGGAGTGGGGTGGGAATGTTAAAAATCAACAGCTATAACCTATTTAGGAAGGATCAAGCAACAAAAAGGCAAGGGGTGTGTCAAATCTCTTTACATGTGTCTGAGTCACTGACAGTTCCAAAGGAAATGAACTACCATAATTATGAATCGATGTCCTAATGGATACAGCAATTGATTGGGTACTAGACGGTGTTTTCTGTGTGTCCCCAAATCCACTCCTTTCACACCTATTTTTAATGCCTAGAGGCCGGGGGAATAAACAGTATGATCATGAGGGCTTCAGTCTGAGTGACATATGCTGGAGATCTCATGCTGTCAGTGCTAAAACATCCTTGGCATGTCTATATATTATAGATTGGAATATAAAGGGCAATTTACTAACTCAGCATGTTGCATTCAACATGAGGGAATTCTATATGAGACCTCATTGGGATAGATAAAGAGGAATTGACACAGAACTAAAAATTTGTTGTTGCTTAGGTGCAAGCAATCATGACTTGATCATATTTGTTATGTATAAACAGAATTAAGTCCAAACTAGCAATATATTAACTTATGCTTTAAAAGGTCTAGTTTCACAAGGCTGAAAGCTAAAAGGAACCAAATCAGCTGGGGGGAAGAATTTAATGAGCAAAATGTGAATACTAATTAGGAATTGTTTAAGAGTATTTTACTAGAAGTCCAAAAAGCCACAATCAAGAAAGAATCCACGGATCTTAGAGATGAAGGGAGGACATCTGTACAATAAATTAATTAGATAGATAGATAGATAGATAGATAGATAGATAGATAGATAGATAGATAGATAGATAGATAGATAGATAGATAGATAGATAGATAGATAGATAGATAGATAGATAGATAGATAGATAGATAGATAGATAGATAGATAGATAGATAGATAGATAGATAGATAGATAGATAGATAGATAGATAGATAGATAGATAGATAGATAGATAGATAGATAGATAGATAGATAGATAGATAGATAGATAGATAGATAGATAGATAGATAGATAGATAGATAGATAGATAGATAGATAGATAGATAGATAGATAGATAGATAGATAGATAGATAGATAGATAGATAGATAGATAGATAGATAGATAGATAGATAGATAGATAGATAGATAGATAGATAGATAGATAGATAGATAGATAGATAGATAGATAGATAGATAGATAGATAGATAGATAGATAGATAGATAGATAGATAGATAGATAGATAGATAGATAGATAGATAGATAGATAGATAGATAGATAGATAGATAGATAGATAGATAGATAGATAGATAGATAGATAGATAGATAGATAGATAGATAGATAGATAGATAGATAGATAGATAGATAGATAGATAGATAGATAGATAGATAGATAGATAGATAGATAGATAGATAGATAGATAGATAGATAGATAGATAGATAGATAGATAGATAGATAGATAGATAGATAGATAGATAGATAGATAGATAGATAGATAGATAGATAGATAGATAGATAGATAGATAGATAGATAGATAGATAGATAGATAGATAGATAGATAGATAGATAGATAGATAGATAGATAGATAGATAGATAGATAGATAGATAGATTATCAGAGGGGTAGCCATGTTAGTCTGTATCCGCGAAAACAAGGAGTCCTCTGGCTCCATAAAGACTAACATATATTTGAGCATAAACTTTTGTGAGCAAAAATCCACTTTGTCAGATACATCTACTTAACTATCTAATTTATTTTGACATACGCTTTCATGGGCAAACCCCGCTTTGTTAGATGCAAGAGAAAGAGAGAGGGAGAGAGTGATACAAATGGGAGAGAAAGGAAGTCAATAGCAATGAATATAAATCAGAAGCTAGGAACTGTAAAAAATTAATAAGGGAAGCAAAAGGACATAAGGAGTGATGTTTGGCCAGCAGTTAATGACAATAAGAATTATTTTCAATAATATTAAGAACAAAACAACAATGACATTGGTCCATTACTAAGTGGACATGGCAAAATTGTCAATAATAATGCAGAAAAGGCAAATGTAGACAGTAACTATTTCTATTTTGTATTTGAGAATGTGTTTGTATCAAATTATGATAATGATGGCGATGAAACACTTCCTATTCCAATAGTAATTTAGATGATGTTAAATAGCATCTACTGAATTTAGACATTTCTTAATTAGCAAGGCTCCACAACTTGCACCCAAATGTATTAAAAGAACTGGCCAAGGAGTTTTCTGGACCATGAGGGTTGATTTTTTTCAATGTTTTGGAGCACTGGGGAAGGTCCAGAGTGGGAGAACACTAAATTAAACAGGGTGGACTGAGTAATTACAGGCTTGTAAGCCTGACATTAATCTCAGGCAAGATGCAGGGTAGCAGATATGATGGGACCCAATTAATAATGAATTATAGGTGTGTGATATAAGGAATGCCAATCAACATGGGTTTATGGAAAATAGAGTCTGTCAAACTAATTTGGTATATTTTTGATGAAATTTCAAGTTTGGTTGATAAAGGTAATACACTTGAGGTACTACAGGCAGTCCCCAGGTTACGTACAAGATAGGGACTGTAGGTTTGTTCTTAAGTTGAATCTGTATGTAAGTCGGAACTGGCATCCAGATTCAGCCGCTGCTGAAACTGATCAGCAGCAAAATAGAGTCTGTCAAACTAATTTGGTATATTTTTGATGAAATTTCAAGTTTGGTTGATAAAGGTAATACACTTGAGGTACTACAGGCAGTCCCCAGGTTACGTACAAGATAGGGACTGTAGGTTTGTTCTTAAGTTGAATCTGTATGTAAGTCGGAACTGGCATCCAGATTCAGCCGCTGCTGAAACTGATCAGCAGCGGCTGAATCAGGACTCCTGGGGGAGAGCAGCTGCGGTGCTGCCGGGTTGGTCCAGTAGCGCCAAGAAGCGGTGCTGCGGGACCAACTGGCAGCGCCCCACCTGCTCTACCACAGGCCCCGGGCTTTGCTCCACGTCTCCCTGGTCTGCTGG